AACTCAGGACCTTGTATTTGCCAGACAAGCGCTTATTCTGCTGACCAATTTCACCAGCCCTCAGACAGAAGGATTGATATACCAATTAAATGTATAAAAGTTGAATAAGAGAATTTTGCCAGGTTGTATTCTGAAGAAAGGGAACATTTTTTTAATGCCTATACCCTTGAACCATGTTTTTTGTTTTTTGGGTTTTTTTTTTTTTTTTTGCCTGTATTTTAGGGAATGGTCTACAGGATGTTCAGGATCTCACTACTAGATTTGACTCCTAGTGATTTTCCTGTTTACAGCCTCTCAAGTGCTAGGATTATAAGCACGCACCACTACACCCAGTCTCAATCTCTGTCTCAGTGCGCCTTGAGGGTGGGGCTAGCACAGCAGGCCCCAGGAAACCATGTTTTCAAACATTTGTCATTAAATTGGTACAGCTCTTTAGGCATCCTTTCCCTGCCAGTATATAGTGTTCACTGGGATTGCATTATGATATATCCTCAGTTTTTTAATTTTTATTTTGAGGCAGTCTTGCTAAGTTTCCCAGACTGAATTCAAACTTGTAGTTTCTCCTGCATCAGCCTCCCAGAATGCTGTATACCCCACCACAAGTGGCTGCAAAATGGGATCTCACACTTAAAAGTATTATGTGCCATGGTTGCTTAGGAGTAATAATCCCTTCTGTTTAAATCTCAAGTTCTTCTCATTAGGAAAAATTAATAAATTCTCTTACGCAGAGGAGACTTCACATAGGTATTAGTACATACAGTATAATGTCAGAACTACCGATGCAGCACAGTAGAGATTCTGACTAATAACCTGTAGATACTACTTTGGAAGATTGTGGTTCCTTGAAAGGCTTCCTGGTGTATATGAGAACAGTATTCAGGCATACTGCTAGAGTTTTAAGTTGAGCGTCAAACTAGTTTTTACTTAAATCAGAATAGAATGGCTTATTAATGGTTGCAGTAAAAATTATGAAATTGGACTGGCAGTTTGAGAGTATCTGCTAGAAACATCAAGACCTAAAACTTTTGTAAGCATTGTAGGTAGAAGAAGTATAAAGAGGAATTCATAGAAATTAGTCCTCTGCTACCCTGACCTTTATACCTTTTAAAAACTGCTTCAAGTGGTTCATTACATGCACCTATTGTAATGAATGAATTATACTGAAAATATAATTTCTTTTTTTTATTTCTTTATTTTTTTCCATAATTTTATTGAGTGAAATTATAATTTCAAGTTCATGTCAGCTTACCTTGGTTGAGACAGGTTGTTGCTAAGAGCTTTGACTGGCTTTGTAAATGCTGTATTGTTACTGAAGTTATAGTGGTTTTCAGTAGATGGAAGTGTTAGTCTGTGCTATATTTCAGATGAAACAAAATTTTTGTAGAGAGCACTTAGTAAAGGAACATAAGGTAACTTCTGGCTATTTTGAGTACAGTGATATACATTTTTTTTTCCTCATTGACAGAGAGTTAAAAAGGAGCAGGATGTACTTTAAAATTTCAGGACAGTATTAGTAGTTCTTTTCTTTTTTTTTTTTTTTTCTTTTCCATAATTTTATTGAGAAACAAATAGCAATGAGACAGTTTCAAACCAAATTGGTAGGACAGTTTCAGTAAGTAACACATTGCATACATTTTTCCTAGTGGTTAATTGCTATAGAAGATGTGGACATGATATCCTATTTACAACACTATAAGAACAAATCCCTCTGTTCATTAAGAGAATGTAACTGTATATCTATCCTAACCATTTTGAATACACAGATACAAAATGGACATTCA